AGCGGCCTATGCTCCATTGGGAGTAACAGGCGTAAGTAAGTAACGACAAACAAGTAAACAAACAAACAAATTTTTATTACAATTTAATCACACAATAAATACTATTGTCACATGAACTGAAAAAAAATCATATCGTTCATTTTGTGTCCCAACAAAATGGGATTTAGCAAGGCAACTATGAATTATTTACTTAATCAATCAATTAAATTTGTCCACTTTTGAATTATAATCGATTTGAAACCGGACATGAAAATCATTAACTGATATTGATTTGAAATTTATTTTATATAAGGAATATTACAATGATTATAATTGATTATTGACTTGATTATTGAAAAATTATTGATCAGTGTATCTTTAAAGAATTCAGTAACAATACTAAATTCAATTATTAAAAATTATTTAGGTCAAACACTTGTCCAGACAATTAAGTATACATATTGAAATGTAGCTATTATGGATAGTGATGATTTATTCTCTGGGATAAACGGTTCAACGACAAAGTTTTCATTTTTGTTTTTAACAACATCAACAGAGCCTGTTTTAAGTAAGAGCAAGAGTTTTACCAACTCAATAAAAACCTACTTGTCACTGAATAAAGTCGGTTTTGCTACTCACAAATGTATTTACATCCACTATGTTTATTCAAACTCCGCCTGTAGCCCTTCTAGTGTTACTGCCGGTCCCAAGCACAGATAAAGGTGGAGAGTTGGGCATGGGGTCACTAATCTCATGCCGTAAAAATCAACCTTGTTAAAAAATGGTAATCAAAATAAAAAGTTCAAACCATTTACACTCTGCCCTCTGTGTTGAAGGATCTTCACTTAGAAGAATTACGACACCTTATGGTGAAACCCGAGATCCTTCAAAAGTGACGACACTAATGCCCCTCCTGAAGGAAGACCAAAAAAGCTACGGGAATATGGAAATACAATTTGGTGACGCTCGGAATAAGTGAAAACCATTGGACTCAGGCTGGGCAAAAAAGAACGGACTAGGGAGAGATGCTGCTGTACTTGGGTTACGAAAAAGAAACTACTCCACACACTCGGGGAGTTTTTTTTATTCTATCAAAAGAAGCACGTTAAGCACTTGTAGGATAAGAATCCCATGGGTCCAGGATCATCGAAGCATCTTTCAACGCAAAGAAATAGCGAATCACAATGAATGTTATCCAATGTTAAGCACCCACCGATGATAACAACGACGATAATAAAGATCAGTTCATGACGAAGGGATCAGGAAAGGGTATGGCCATCTTGATGAGAGACTACTGCTACTACTACGAACTGTGATACTTTAGTAAGTTAATGAATAGAATTAAACCAGCTAAACAATCATTCTCATAAGTCATTTAGTCTGAAATAAAATGTCTATAATAAAGTTAACTTATCAAATAAAACAATTCAAATAAATCAACCACAGTGATGATTGTTGTGATTTCGTTGTCAAAAGAGAAACGATTTTCCATGTAGATTAAGAAATTAGATTAAAAAGTGATTCCCCAAAAAATATATTTACCAGGATTATTTATAGGTTGAACTTAATAGTTCCAAATAAATTGAACATTGGGTAGTGATTTCATAATAAATATATTTTTATGTCCCAATTAGTAGAAAAAATTGTATTTTTGACTTTTCATGACTTAATGTAAGCCACTTCTTCAGACCTCATCAACCAATCTTCGACCTTTACCTGCTACCGTACATTTAATATAATTATTGTTAGCTCGGTCCCGAGAAAGCTCTATCAATAATTCGAGGATATCTATGATTAAACACCAGTAACCCGCAAATATTCACTAATTTTTCATGTTATGTTTCAGAGCCATTAAGTAGAACAGAAAGAACAACTGAACAGTACACTCGTCCTGTAGTTGATAGCCAGACAACTTACCTACATCACAAGTGACTCAAGTTGGCTAAAGCTAGTTGGACATTCTAATTCTTAGTTGAAGTTTCGTCAGATACCAATACATCAGAGCCCATTTAAATTCTAAGATAAGCAAATTGGTACATTGAATCTGAAATTTATGCAAGGATTAATCAATTTAAAGAAGTAAACAACGACTATCTTCCATTTCACCTATTCTAATTGATTCAAATATTTATTCCAATGAATTTAGATATAAAATTATGTAAATAGATCTTCATTGTCTGTGGTGTTGGTAAACTTAAATAAAAAATTATTGCTTAGAAGTTATTTCGAATTAAAACGCACAGCTGAATTCATAGCCTTAATGATAATCAATGAATGTTGATTAAAAATAACTTACAGTTCCCTTTACACTGTTAACAGGAAACTAAGAAATTTGTTTACTGGCCAACATTGACCTAGATATAAAACATACGTAAAACAAAGTTAGAAATTAGTTCATTTACAATAGACAAATAAGTTTATATTTCGTATTTGTTTGTATGTGTGTGTGTATGTGTATATGCCTACATGCAAACTAATTCGATAATACACTGTATGTCAATAGATCTTAAGCAAAATCAACAAATATACATAATTAATGAATATAATAGAGCCAATTAAAGAAAATGGAGTTTATTCCTTAAACGAATTGAGCACCATTAAATACAATTAGAAAAAAAGAATGTTTAAATCTAGATTAACCTACTAACTACGTATGAAAACAGACTAAGTTCTGTTAGATTACGCTCATCTTGTATGAAATGCAATATAATCTAATATTTTAGATGTCATGTTCTGAAAGCTTTATTAACACCAAAAGCTGACCTACATGAAAATTGTTAGACTTGCTGTGAAATACTTTGAGTTTCACGATAGTTTTCGTCACAGGAAGACTAAAGCTGAAGAATTCACTGATAACCAGGTACGTTTGAACATTTATTTTAATACAGTCCGGGACTATTTAGCACTTCCTATGTACTTATTCATATAGGATAGACTTGGAGTGCTTAAAAACTTTAGGCAAAATAAGATGTGGATGGTGGCTATCAATGAAAACTAGGACGTACCTTTCGTCCTATTCAAGACTCGTCAGCATCCCGCAGTTAGTTCTCAATTCTGGATTCAAACTCAGAACCGTCCGCTTCGAATGAGCATCCATGATTCCACTGCTAGCCACCAGCCATCTCTACTTAGAATACTTGTGACTTACTGGCAGTATCGAGGCAATCCGCACAGGATGCATATTTGCCGAAAAATGGACTGATTATTTGCAGTCCTGAACATTAGTCGAAATATTCAAACAACTAATGCAAATGCTCTATATATGATATGTAGTCATCAGGCGAAAAATTAATTCTTGATAAGATAAAAGTCAAGGATATGCTCATAATTTTAATAACCGACGAAACTCTGTAGATAGTAAACGAAACATTTTATTACATATTGAACAGCAATAAAATTTCGTTGAAGACCACTTTGACAATGGATTTTTTTCTTGAGAAAGTATGTGATGGCAGTGTATCGGCAAACTGGAAAATAAAACCAACAACATGAGACGTTATCAGTCCTTCCAATAAATACAGATAAGCATTGATACAGATTTGAATAGAAAGATGTTAAAATTGCGGATGGGGTCATGTAAAGCATATCAGAAAATTTTTGAAAAAAAAACAACATGAAGATCTGATTAATCCACAGTAATAGGTATATCAATATGAATTTTATTTACTAATCCGCACATGAACAGTCAACCAATTTGATAGGTAGAAGCTAATAAAACAGGATAGTCAACAGAAATGTAATAAAGCTGATACACCCTCCGAAACTAGAATTTGTAGACAAGGTCATTGGGATAGAATGATTTAGCTTGTGTGGAATAATTAAGTAGTTCAGTTCTACGTAAAGTATTGTTTACTTGAGTTATCCCATTGATGTTTAGAACTTCAATTGATCAGTATCTTGTTGGCATATGTGCACACTCTGCGTATTGCCTCAATGTTGTTTTAATTCACAAGTCCAAGGTTGAACATCAACTCTGAAATGCAGGTACATCCAGCTGACGATTTCCAAACAGGACGAACCACACGTCCTAGATTCTACTGCTAGACACTATCCATCTTTGATTTCAACATCAGTCATTAAAAATAGTCGTCTCGTTGTGTATCTTTCATTTCTGTGCAAAGAAAGGCGGAATAGAATGGTTTAAGACAATCAATTATAATTATCGTCACCACTTCCAAAAAAATTCACGGCATTTTTAAATCAAAATAATACTAAGTTATTAAAAGATAGATAAATCGTAACCAAAAGTTTTGAACACGTTATCTGATTTGGTTCTAATAATCTGAGGGGGATCGAATATACTGCTATAAATTACAGTTAGATTAATAGCCATCTTCACAAAGAAAAGTAGAACAATATTCCTTGTCCATATAAACTGATAACGTTGTTCCAATGATTAATTACTGAAAACCAACCAATATCACATATGATAGATGGGATGTGTCTAGTAGTGGTATCCATACCGTGTTTCGTCCCACTTGAGACTCGTCAGCAGGATATACTTGCATCCGAGTTGACGTCCACTCCGGAGTTAGAGACTAATACCACTCGCTTCAGATGCCACCATATTATCCACTCAGCTACTGAATCCATAAAACCATTTGCTTTTACAATATCGTAAAGATTTGAACTACACATGGAGTAATAGTTCTACCAGGTTTCTTGTTAACCAATGCACTCTAGCATGAACTCTATGATTTTATTATCTATTCTTCACCCAACTCCCACTAAAAGCCGAACTCGATAGAACTAATTAAAGGAGTTCATGGCATATTTTACTTTACTTACCTCATACAGTCCATTATATTCATATTCAACTCTCTGAAGTTCATCATTACATAATCTATATTTTTACAGAAACATAGTTATATTACCTAAACATTATAATGACATAATATATAAGCCAACTGTAACTACATACACTGATGAATATTCTATTGAATGATATCAAAATAAATTTCCTCAAATCTCTCTTTTTCAAGTCACTTTTTGACTAGATTATTATACACATACTGCACAACTTAACAATTATTTATTTCATACATTTGAAAAGTAATTTTCAGTAGGAAATTATGGTTAGCTTCATCATTATTAGTCGCAATAGAAGTAGTAGTAGTAGTAGTAGTAGTAGTAGTAGTAGTAGTAGTAGTAGTAGTAGTAGTAGTAGTAGTAGTAGTAGTAGTAGTAGTAGTAGTAGTAGTAGTAGTAGTAGTAGTATGGATTTCTCGAATATCTTCCAAGTATATTAGGAAGTACAGAAGATGAAATAATGCATAATAGAGATCCATTAATCTAACTGCATCAGATTATTTGTTTACTCAATAATATATTACTAGTGAATAATATTTTACATGAAAAGAAGATATATGTTTTATTCTTAACAAGCGGATCATTCAGTATACAGAGATTATATGCTCACATTTTGGCAGATATCGCACAATCTAAGAATGTTAACTGCATAAGTTACGGCGATACAATATGAAACAAAACTGACCCATTTTATGCTTTTTTAAAAATTAGGATTACTTACTTATTCTTTTCATTTAACCAATAATTTTTTTACTAAACTAATGCAATAGGATTGATTTGATGTTTAGAAACTTCGTGATAGCGCCAAAAAGAGTTCACTTTATCTAGTGTTCCGTTACTACGTGTTAATTAACCTCGATACAATTTCCCGATTCATATTCCTACAATATTGATAGAGTTTTGTTCTGTGAGCTGGATGGCTTGAGCGTAGAGCTTTCGTCGTTATTCTGAACGACATCATCAGCACAAACTTCAGGTACCTGAAGGTCAGAGGACAAAACTTTATCAAAATCATCCACCTGAGCAACAACCCTTCTCCACCCTCTCATATCCCCACAATGATCTTTGCTTTCATCTGATCGACTGTTGTCATGTTTAGTTTTCTTTGTTATGTGTCCTAAGGCCATTGAGTGCCACTATATAGACAGAACTGTTTTTTTTTGTTGAGTTTTTAACTTCTGTTTGGAAAAAACTGTATAACAGCTGAAATCTTGTTCAGTATCAACTACGAGAAAATATGGAAAGCATAAATTGTCACTGAAACCAATAAAAAAAAGCTTTTTCTTATTGATTGTTCATGAAAATTAAGAATTCATTTCAGTAACTTACTAAAATCTGAATTTCACTTCATATAAACTGAAAAGTATGTGTTTGACCGGAAAATAGAATACAGTTGTCAAAAGAATAAATCAAGTTATTTCCACTTGTTATACAGTTTATACTCTAGATGGTGTTTTTGTATTCAGTATTAATAAGCGATAATTGAAATTAAACAAAAGAAACTCCTAGACCAAAGTTTTGTGCCAGTTTACGATCATCGAAAAACGTATCTTCAATCGTATGAGAAGAAATGAAACTTCTCATCAGATACGAAGCCACTCTACTCAATATCATCTTCACAGTTGTCAGTATTTAGCTGATTGGGCTATAACTGATAGATAGAAATATTTACAAATAATTGATCTCCGATTAGTAATGTTACATTTGTCTGACGCTTAATGTTGATCGACTTTTATCGATTTATTTACCATATAATCACAAGGCTAACTGACTTTATGTAATGTTGAGTGGTAAGGAAGTTCCTAACCTAGTTTTCGTGCTATTCAACACATGTCGTTCAATGTATTTCCCATTGAAGATTGGGATATTTACAAGATAAGATTAAATTTCCAATTATTATTATTAATACTAGATTTACATAATAGAAAACATTGTCATTATACTCATCAACTTACTCGTTACCATTTTTACAGTTTTACTACATACCTTACTATGCATACATAAATATGTGGATTCGATTTCCACAGCTATAGATTACGTACGATCTAACAGCATTTATAATAAAGTTTAGTTATGAGAATTTCCATCGATTTATTATCGCTGATCATTTGTTTAAAATAATACAGAACACAATCATGTTATTCCGTATTTCAATAACTAAATATACTGTCCAGATCTTATTGAGACGTTGTTCATCAGATAGAAATTAAATGTTAAACACTCGTAATTTGGAACATGAGGTCATTATATGACAGGTCATCTTGTCACAACCGTTACATTCTGTTATTACTGAATTAAAATAAATAATTCAGTATATAGTAACTTATTATAAACGCTCATGATAGCTAAAATGTTCAGTAATATAATAACTGACCTTCTCCCTATACACACACACAACTCGTGCATGTATACTTGCTAGATACAAATAAACAAAGTCCCACTTTCTAGCTTCATAATTTCGCCAGGCTTTTTTAATCTTGTAGTTATGGCAACACTGTTTCTATTCAATTTCATTTATTAATGTTTTTTTTCAAATATGAACTCTTTTTTTCTTCAGTCAACTACCTTCAACCATCCAAAGTTTATATTTATTCATATTGTTGTTGTAACATTGAATAACTCAAGATGAATTCTTAGTTTATTTGGCATTTAACAATTTTTTTCGATAAATTACAAATCAAATAGTTGAAAGTATGAGTTATTGATAAATATAAAGTTAGTTATTGTGAGTTATTATGTGAAGTTGTGCTTCTTTAAAGTTTACAGAACCATTTTTTTCTATGAAGAAAATGTTCATAAGATTTGTTGTCTAAGTCAGAGTCACGTCGTACATTGAAAGTACCATTCAAGTCACTAGGTTTATGTTTTACTAATAAACTATTCACAAGAAGTCATTGGAATGCACTTTCTGTAATAAAGTATAATTAATTTACCATATTACTGTTAAATGATACTGATCACTTTTAAATTCTAATACATTGTAGGTTTATGGTATTAAAACTGTAAAAGTTTAAAGCAAAACGAAAAATAATATTATTTACATAGTGACTTTTCATTACTTCTCTTTAAATATTATCAAATGTTTTAAATTAAACCGTTATTCAATAAAATCTAATAATCTAAATTACTTACTTTCAAATATGTTGTTTAATGATTATTTTAAAGTTATTTATATAAGGAATCAACTATACTGATTGATCACTGTATGGTTACCAAGGTGATACTTACCTAGTTTTAAATATTTATCGAATCTTATTGAACGTGGAACTTATCAGTAAGATGTATTTCCCATTTCCTAGTAAGATTTTAAGTTAAATTACTTGGTACTTAAAAAGAAGGGTTTACTAATTACATATTTAACCATATATTAACCTCCAGTAAACATAAGATACTTGTCTATTGTCTACAGCTAATCTACGAAATAGATACTTGAAGTACACTTTTATTATGTTTCACCAACTGTAAATATAACGCAAATAGGAATAAAGTTTGTTATATACACAATGATTAATTAATACAAACATTTCAATCTTACAGGATCAAAGAGTTCAATAAATAACATCTCTAACTATTATACTAAGTAATGTAGGTTCTAATCTCATAGGAAGTATAAATTATATTCAATATTAAATTTATTACATTGATAAATGTCAACATCTATATTTATAACTTCATATTGATTTAATGCAATCACATAACATACATTATCTTCGTCTATACACAGATCACTTTTTATGACAGTTTTATTTTTAATTTCACTTAAAGAACACTATTATTATTATTATTAATGGTAACAATTATTATGAGTCATTTATGAATATGTATACTGGTTAAATAGAATATCTGATACATAACTTTAAAGAATTTACACAAGTAAAAACCACACAATCATAATTTGTATCATTCTATCCATGGTTCATAATGGAAGTAACACTAAATTAACCCGTATAGCTAAGTTTGTTTGTTCTGTTTGTTTGTTTTTTCTTTTTCTTTCGTTACAATCACTAAAGTATTTAAAATTTACATAGTTTCCTTCAATAGAATGTATATATATAATGTCTATTATACTAGATCTAAACTTACATGAATTGATTGACACAATACTACTTAATATTGATTGAATTCAACTGAATTATTCAACCGTATCAAAGTTTATTTTGTTTGTTTGTTTTTTTTAAGGAAAAGGACTCATTTCTTTTTTATTTACCATTTTTTCTTCTATCAATATTATTTACTATTTAAAATGATGTTTGGAAATGATTTAATAAAACAACACTAATGTATAAATAATCATCAGACTTTGTTTGTTGTATACAATTTAATATGCCATGTTATCACCATTGTCATAATAATAATAATAATAATTTTGAAAGGTTGATTTATATTATTAGAATGATTGACTTTATCTATTATTACAAAAGTAACATAAGTTTATATTATTTACAAAATAAACATTATATTCTTATTACTGTTATTCAGTCAGTTGGTGGATCTTTGATAGTGATAATAATAATAATAATAATAATAATAATAATAATAGTATGCAAAAGAATGGAAAACCCGATAAACATATCAACATCCATGTCAATCATAATACAAATATTTATCAATGTTTTCATAGTAAAAAAAAAACATTGATCAATAGACTCATATAGACAAATAACGATTTGAAAAGATTTGTCTAAGTATTTAAAAGTGCATATTATCTACTCAATTTACAAGTTATTCAATATAGATTGTGAAAACTAAAATACAATATTAATCACTATCACTAATATTATTATCAGTAGTATTAGTGGTGGCAGTAGTGTAATAAACGAGAATTCAGTTGTGGTAAACCAATTCATTGTTTAATTCTAAATTACAGAGTACTTTGGAAAAATATGAAAGCCATACATTAAATACATTATTTGCATATCTTCCTTCAGTTGTCCTGAACGTGCTTCATGATTCCTCAAATCCTGTTATTAATTTGATTCATCTCTGATTTTCTTTCTGTTCTCTTCAGCTGAGTTATCTTCTGCCAGCCATTATACTTCGGACTGCTGCTACATACTACTTATATCTGTCAGCATAAGTAGCACATACTACATTAGTAGTAAAGGTAATAGTCATAGTGGTAGTAGTAGTTGTTGTTGTTGTAAAATACCAGCGAATAAATAATGTCGATCTGAACTAATATAGTAACTAAAGAAAATATCATTCAAAAATGAATGATAAACGTTTTCTGAAATTGAGAGATATAAAAGACCTCCTTTTTTTTAGAGAACATATTCATTGATCATATAAATAATCAAATATAATATTATTTGCATGGTCATTTTTTATAATACCAATATAATGTTCATATGATACCGACGTTAAAATGCAAACACCACATGATATTTGCTTTCCTTGATCAATATCAATTTCATCTAAGAAATCGTAGTTAATTTGATTAATCTAGTTTCAGACTATGTTAATTATTTTAATGTTTCAC